ATATTACAGATGTTTAAAACTGACATATGACTCCATCGAAAAGGAATTATACGTTTGTTAAATTAGCACTTGAAGAATTAAATCCAAGTTCCTCTAAAATTCACTTGTAATATTGAGCTTTACAAAATTTAGGTTTATGTGCTTTGTCAGCTGGAACATACTGATCATGTAAACTATCTAATTCTTCTTGTTCCCACAAAATTACTGAAGACAGGAGAACAGAAGATACGCATTTTGCCACTCAACCGTTTTATACTTTTATTCATTCTAAGAGTCATGGTCATCTTAATATCCTTCATATTTGATCCATCGTCTGGTATACAGAATTAATAATACAAGAGACATGAATGTTATGAACTATTTTACTGTTAATACATGCACATGGTCTATAAAATCCCGAAACCGGTTGCAATTTTGGATCCTTTAATTAAATGAGTGATTTAAGGGGAAGAAGGACCTTGAGCTGAAAAAATACCTGTCATTCAATTTTTTTCATATTTTGTATATTTCTTATTAAGTATGTCCCACATATCTTAAAGCAGTTATATCATTAGGTTTCTTACCTTATTTTAGAGATATTGATTGACAAATACTATGCCCTACAGTATCTATGTAGAGTTTTAGTTCTCCATGTTTCCGGGCCCATTACTCTGTCCATAATGGGATTTTTTAAGCAAAGATAAAAAATATGTAAGTGGACATGTATCTTTTAAAATATTTCATAGTATGAATAGGGTTTAAAATTCGAAAAAGCAAGTTTCTTCTATCACACTGCATCTGGATAGCGAAAATTACGTACTTTTTAAGACAACTTTAACAACAAAAAACGTAATTTACCAAAAATTCTATCATTCAATATTTTTAAATTTACGTGGAAATGTAAGTCCTTCAAATTATTGATTAACTGTAAAAATTTCGAATGGTGAAGCTGACCTCAATATTGCACAGGACATCGTTAAAGAGGACATAAGCATGACAAAAACATGTCATGTTTACATTTCTCGAGTACGGGAAAAACCAATTATGACGTCACATGTAAGCTAAATAAGCGAAAGAACATATACCTACATAAGATTTCCGTCATCAGCCATGCAAAAATAATTTTTGTATTCCCCGTATCTCAGAATATTTTATCATTTACTGATTAAGACCTGTTTCAACAAAGTAACACCGCCCCTGTATTCACCGAGTATGATCTTGCTGTACTAACAGATCGTGTATGACGTCACCGACTTGCTGGACGCGCAGTTTAGGGAAACAGAGGAGTGGATCAATCTTTTTCATAATTTGTTAATGTTTACAAGAATTTTAAAACTTTTTATTTTTTTCATATAAGATGGTTATTAACGTTAAAAAAATGTCAAAAAATTATACAAGAACTGATGCTTTACACGCTTTGTTCTTATATAAACGGAGACTATGACGTAGTTAAACAGAGTCATGTGACCATGTGTCCTTCTCCTCCTTAAGGTCCTCATGGTTAACTGTATCCCCCTGATCATTAAAGATCAGCAGAACTACAGTTAATAGAACAAGTCGGAAGATTTTGTTTCATATGGTCAATATCTAGGCACTTTTTCGTGATTAAAAGGTTTGGGAACAATGGTGGAATATTTTTTAAGAAAAACAAGGTTTGGTCTTTACTTAATATTTAACTGTTATTTTCTATATGTGTGATAGAGTGATATTTTAATTTATTTTATTAAGTGAATATTATATTATATAGTTCAGTGACTTAATATTCACGTGTATATATTTTATTTTTAGCATCGCGCAGCATTTCGTTTTCACGGAGTTTTGCGCTCACCGTTAATAAAATTAATAAAATATTAAAACTTCATTTGGTTTTAATCTTTACTTATGTTCTAGAAGTTCTTACTTATCCTGAGGGTATATAATGTTATTGGTCAGTTTTAATAACCAAGCTTGCGATTGGTTAGGGACGTTTTTCCCGCCGATCTCTTTGTGTATCGGTCAGACATCTATAGACCATTGAGAAAGTGAGATGAGTATTTTTGGTCATCATTATATACAATATTAATTTTGAGACGAGACCTCAGGACAGAGACTGTAAGTTGACTTCTATTTCTTTTATCTTTACTAATTCTTATTCTATACTTTCCGATAATTCATCGTCTTTGATTTTTAATGTAATTTTGTGAAGATATACTGAGTTCAACTTTATCATTATTAAATGAAGCTTAAAGTATAAATTCTTTGAGTATGTAAATAAAATATCAATTATGCAGAAGTGTATATAGAATATAATTATTGTTTGATAGGAGTCTATATATCAAGACCCGTTATTTTTATCGGGTGGCCATTGTTTGAGCCTTGATCCACAATCAGGTATACCTACAATTATTTTCTATTTATTGTGTATATATTATTGCAAATAGATTTGTGAACTATTCATTTTATTTGTAATAGTTCTATTTGGAATAGTTCGATTTATATTCTCGTTTTCAAGACGTCGATGTAAGGGAAATAACTCTTACTTTTCCACGTATTTATTTCAATGCTCAGTATAATGTGTAATACTTTTATGATCGATTATTATAAAGTAATTCATGCCTAAATTCATGAATATCATTATAAATGTCATATGTGTGTTTGTTTTCTAAATACTTATAATTTGTTATTGATATTTTCAGGGCTTTATTGATGTATTTATTTATTCAACATGAAAAAATAAAATGATCGAACCTTAGACGCAGGAGTTCTTCTTTAACAGCATAAGAAAACCCTGTTACATATGAACATTATTTTAACAGATATTCTTAAAAATTACGTTCAATACAGAGCAAGAAAGCATCTAGGATCTTCAAACATCTTGTATATGTTTTGAAACATTACTCTTATAGCACTTGATGGGATACTTTTTGTCTAAACAAAGGATACCTGGGTTAAAATATCTGCGACGTTTATATTTTTTCTCCAACTACTTGGGCTGGACTTTGAACGCATGCATCACATTATTATTTAAAACATATTTTGTTTGATGGTGGCATTGCGCGATGTTGCAATGGTCAAATTGTTCCTCAGCTGAATGTGAAATATATCGTACCTGCAATTTAAAAACAAAATTATAAACTGGAATCTTACTCAGTCGATCCGTCATTTAACAAGGAAAAGTCTTGTTTCTCGGTTGAATTGCCTTGATCTTTGTAATATATTACTTTTGGAATCTCCCTTCTAGATTTCAGACAGTAAGAGAATAATATTTATTAACATGTGAAAAAAAATCATATAATGTTTACATTCACAATTTGACTTAAAATCTCTATACATTGTATGAATGCATATAGTATTACAAGTAATACATCTTTGATGTTTAAAACACATTATCACTATTACTGTATTCCACTTCTCTATATACTGAAGTTATAGTTACAAAAAATCTACTAAGCATTATAAATTTGTTCATAGTCTGTATTTGATATTCAATAGTCGTCCAAAAAAAGTATACTAACGGAAAAAAGAAACTATGCATTAGTAAATTTAGCATAAAACTCAAAGAATATTGTTTATATTTATAAGTTTATGCGAGAGGACTATCTAAGTTTTGGAACTTGTGTCCAATCCCTTTGACATATTGTCAATAAAATATGTTCAAAACAATATTTATAAGTGGTTAATAATCGATACAGGTAGTGATATTAATGACAATAGGCCTGAACTCGACTCTTGCACAGAATTTTCATGGTAGGCAAGCATATGTTGTTTTTGACGTAATCATATTCGCATGGTATCGCAGGCAAAATTTTTTGTGTCCAAGAGTGCATGACATTTTTTTAAAGATTTGTTTAAAAAACCACTTTGAAATTATGAGAATCTGCAATTGTGCTATGCCAAGGCTCAATGAATATCAACGTCTTTGTGCTGTTGGAATGTTGCAGGTTGGGATGGCCCAAATCTTGTTGCTCGACAATTTAGTGTTCACAGAAACACTCTCCGGTCATTATAGAGACGTTTCCAACAATCGGCAACACTTTGGATCGATCACATTCAGGGCGTCCCCGTGTGATTTCGATTCGCCAAGATAACCACATCACACTCATGCATCTACGAAATCGTTTTCAGGCAGCAAGTTTGACTGCTCCTAGCATCCCCGGTCCTAGGCGCATAAGTGCAAGAACTATATGTAATCGCTTGCGAGAACATAACATCAGGCCTAGACGTCCTGTGATACGTCCAATAATGCTTCAACGTCATCGAACTGCACGATTAGTTTGGTGTCGGAGACATCTGAAGTACCAATCTCAAGAATGGGTCAATGTTTTGTTCACTGATGAATCAAGTTTTCATTTCGACAGCAATGGTGGTTGCCGGAGGGTTTATCACCGGGATGGGGAGTTACTCGGATGCTTGTGTAGTGCAACGTCGACAATTTGGAGGCCTTAGCGTAATGGTGTAGGGTGGTATTACAGCACACGACAGGACCACTTTACAGATAATCAATGGAAACCTGACAGGCATTCGCTATAGGGATGAAATAATCCAACTTCATGTGATACCGTTCATACGGAGACAACAAAATTCCATTACCCTGCAACGGAATAACGCCAGCCCACATTTTGCCCGTGTTGTTAGAGACTTAAGGTTTATTGCCCAGCAAAGTGTCGATGCCCTACACTGGCCAGCAGTTTCACTCGACTTATCACCAATTGAACACATAAGGGATGAGATGAAAAGATGGTTACGTCGTTTATCAAACCAGCCAGTGACGATTTAGGCCAGAAATTGACCAATATCTGGAACAACTTTTTTCCAGGCATTTTTGAACAATTTAGTGTCATCAATGAGACACCGCGTCGACGTCAAAAATGCGTGAACGCAGATGGTGGCCATACACGGTATTAAGTTTGTGAATCGATTTCAAGTACCAGTGTCTTTCTAACGTCCTACAAGTGACGTTTTATGACATAAACACAAATTATTTCCACATATTTATAAACAATAAATTTGTGAATCATGCTACTGAATTAAATGTATCGTCATTGATATTTTATTCTTTTATTTAATACTTCATGTAATGTAGTTTCTTTTTCCCGCTAGTATACAAAAGAACGTCCTGAATTGATAATTTTCCTGTATATTACATTTTTGGAGATTAAATAATTTTACATAACTAGTTTACATTCCATATATATGTTTGCCTGGATTGAGCCCAAAACCAAAAATTGTTTTCAAAAACATTCCCATTTAATTGCACACATCAATAACACCGGTATCTCGTTAATCTAAAACCCAATAATTGACAGATATCAAATAAAATTGGAACTACAACCTTATCTTTTTTTTCTGATAAAATTCATACATGTACAAGACTTTGTGTAATTATTGCTGTATACAACATAACAATGATGACGATCGAAAATACAACCCATACGAATTCTTATTAATAACAATTCCTAAACAGTAACAATTGTAAGGAAAGGCAATTTTGGTGCCCATCTCGAGAAAAAATAATTATCTTGATTTTTCTTTATTTACTGCACATAGTTTTTCATTCTGCACTGAAATTTCTCAAGAAATTCTTTTATTGCCTTTTGCAGGTTGTCAACACTTTCCGCAAGAAAAACAGAAACAGCAGCATAGAAAAAAATGACAACAGAGTTGGTAAAATTACAAATAATTGTGATAAACAAATACACTATTAACTGACAAGCTCACAATAAATTAATATTCTTACAACTTATTCATCATAATCAAAACAAACGATTTCTAATTACAGAAAGGAAACATTTTCTTTGCTGGGTTATGTAATTTGTCCATGTACACTGTATAACATCAGTTGAACGTCTTGGATATATATATAGTAATATATAAAACCAAGTGCTAAACTCCCTGATATCTCAATTTATAAGATATCACCATGGTAATGGTTTCCCAGAATAATCGGTTAGCACGCATGCGTTGTCTGCGTTCATTTTTAACATCACTTCCAGACAGCCTCTGACGCTTTGGGATGGAGTAACGGGAGCGGCACTGGTTCCCATGTCCGTCTGAACCCACCCAGGATGTAAAACTCCAACATGGACCCCCTTGTCCTTCAGTTCGTTATGCAGAATCTTACTTAACATGTTCAGAGCTGCCTAAATATAGTAAAAATCAACATTTGCAAATGTATTACAGATCGTTGCAAAAAACGAGGGGGGATTTATTGGAAAAAAAATATGATATTAGCATGATAATAAACTCAATTCAACGCATCTACTTCTGACTTACTTTTGATACTCGGTATTCTACCGCATTCGATGTTTCAGTCAGTGTAATGGAGGACATTATAGAGGACATATTTACTACAGCGGAGGAAGGATTGCTGTGTGAAGAGGTTTGCGCTGAACGTAGAAGGAGAGGGAGAAATGCCTACAACCAGAAAACAATTGTCCTGGAGCAGCTCACACAGGGCAACTTTGTTCTTCAGGATACTAATCTTAGTTTCTAATCTGTTTTCTTGTGTGTTAACTTTTTATAATGGAATTTCAATTAATTGTGAGTGATACTTCAATATTATAGAAAATATACTTACTTTAGTCGTAAAAAGAGGACCATTAACATTTGTATTGAAGGTTTCTAACATCATTGCAGGTGTAACCGCATCAAGTGATGCCTTTTGGTTAATGCCTGCATTGTTAAGAAGCAGGTTCAGTCCTTCCTCCCCAAGTTTAGACTCCATAATTTTCCTGGCTTCGTCGAAAGAACTAGGTTCGTTTACATCTGAAAGATTGAAAATATTCAACATTAGATACAATATTAGAAAAAAATGTATGTATATCTATATACTTATATATATATATATATATATATATATATATATATATATATATATATATATATATATATATATATATATATATATATATATATAATTATATTAATGTCTTTATTTTTTATTGTTAAAATAAAAATTACCATATAGGAATTTATCAAAGGCACCTAATGTTACATATTAATTTAAGAAAAATACCGATATATATATATATATATATATATATATATATATATATATATATATATATATATATATATATATATATATATATATATATATATATATAATCCCCAAGGTGATTTATTAGGTAGGGGGTTATTTATTATTTTTATTTACGGAGGAATGCCACACTAGAATTTTATTTAATAGATCTTAAAGACATCCCTTTTAAACTATGGTTTTAGCATTGAAAGACCGATATCAGGCCTTAATCATTATAATTTATTTTACCTTAATTATTTTATGATTTTTTTTTCAGAGAAAATGAAAAATATGTTTTATTTGCAAATTAGATGATTTATGATTTAAAATTTGCTGTTAATAAATTCATCACAGGAATGTCTAATAAAATATGTAAAGAAATATGAAAATAAAACACATTATTTGTCAATATTTTTAAACCTTTGGATAAAATCTTCATAAAACTAGTCATAACTATTGAGAACATGTTAGTCAATCATGTTTTAAAAGAAATGGAAATGAAACTTTTGAGAAAATAATTATTTTAATATTTGGACCAATCCCGATCAAAATAAAACTGATCCCGATCAAAAATAACACAACATAAATAAAATAATACTTCATTGCCTTCTTTATATATATACCACTAAGAAATCTATATGATTATCAAGTTCAATTACTTTTTTACCTGTATTACACATAAACAAACTAGTATTCTTGTGAAAATGTTATTTCTTTCCAATTATTATAAAATTCTGGTTGGGATCAGTTTATTTTCGATCGGGATTGGCCAAAATAAAAAAATTAATTTCTCTAAAATTTCGCAATTTCATTTCAAATTCTTTTTTTAAAATATGATTGTCTAACATATCCTTTGTAGCGGTGACTTCTTTGATATTTTATCCATAAGTTTTGAAAATACATATAAATAATGTATTTTATTTTCATGAATAATTTTTTAGTGAAAAAATTAAAATGTCTATCAGTAATCTGGCTTTTCTTTACACATATTATTAGATATTCATATTATGCATTTATTAACAGCAAATTTTTAACTCTAAAGCTAAAACTTTTTTTTTCATTTTTCATGAAAAATTGGGGAAAAAAATCTTATAAAAATAATAAGGAGCTGATATCGGCCTTTTAATTTGAAACCATAACTTAACGGGGATGTCCTGAAATCTATGAAATAATATTTTGGTGTGGCATATTCCTCCTTAAGAAATATTATGTAATTAAAGTCAAATGCCTGTTTAATTC